ATATAAAGGCCTGTTGGGTTTATTAAAGCTGGCAGACCCAAAAAATTTCGAGTTTTTACGACAAATCTAAATTGACAAAATTTATAAATAACAAAATTTTTTATCGGCAAGTGTTTTCTGGTTTTTATTGGCTTTATTCAAAAACGCAGAACCTATTACAGGTTTAAAGGGACACTGACAGTGTATTTATGCTTGCCAAGGTTTTTATTTGTACATTACATATGAGAGCCCAACTACCCGGAAAACGATTCGCTGCTCAAAATTTGTTTTCTTTCCGATCGAGAACTGGCCGGTTTGAGTCGCGCTTTTACTCTCTTCTCTGTGGCCATATGCCGTTTTTTATGGTTTAGACACAACCACCAAAGATCAGAGTCGTACGTCATCGAAGGCAGGCACACAATATTAGAAATGGAAAAGACATATGATGCCCATTATTTGTGGCTTCTAAAAAGCTGCAAATATGTTGTTTTGGGGGGAAAGAAGTATCACAGCCACCTCTCTCCTCTTCCTATATTTCTTCTTCCTCCCCAGTCCATTAAAACTTGTTGGCCTAGTTGCTTCATGGTGCAGTCTAGTAGTGTTGCGCAACAGAAGGAAGTAGAGGGGCTTGTCCGTGTCTACTCACTTATTGTCCCTTGTGTCGCACAAAAACTTCTAGACTCCCCAGTCCAGTTTCGGTTTCGGTTTCAAGCTGTTGCGTTTTTTTTTTAAACTTTATTAAAAATATACGTGACGCTGTAGCAACATATTGATTCGATAGTCTTCTGATACCATAATAAATCGCCTGGCAAAAAAAAAAAAAAATTTGGGGGGGGGGTGTTAGTGTTCTTTTGTTTTATAATGGTTTATTTAACACCACTTGCGAAGTACACAAATGTTTGTGAATAAATGCTTCGAAACTCAAGCTGGATTTTCTCGGTTGATTTCTTAGAATGGTAACGTGTTAGCTACTGGACCACTTCCTTAAACTATCTCCCAGGAGTTTGTTTTTCGGCACGTATATGTGTTTGTAGTCATATATATATTAGCAAGTATGCTAGCGCTAAATGACGCTGATTTATTTCAATATGATGACCTGCCTATGGAGATAGTATGTAAATGATGCCTAGCACGTACCAGTGCTGATATATGCACTATTTTCGCTCCAAACAGGCTTCTAAAATTACGAAATGTCACCACATCTGTAATAAAGCTAAATTAATCCTCATACTGATATGTGGTCTACGTGTCAGATGAGACCTAAATAAATCGCAAAAAATTCGTATTTGCGAGCTACAACACCGTAATTTATCACGCAAGTTCGGCTAGGTGGTGAATTTAGTTACTTAAAATATCAAGAAAAATACTTCCCTCCGTCAAAAGTTACAAGGGAAAATCTATAAATTACCACGTATCTCGATCTAAAAAAAAAAAAAAAAGAAAAGAAACCGTGGTTGTAGGCCATTGGGGTGCTTGATTTAACAAAAGCGTGGACGGGACAGCCTTGATATCGTCCCCCGTTTTTGTCTACCAAACCTCCCAGTGGCCCACAAGATTGTGGCTTCACCTTATGTCGGCCCATAGAACTTTGCTTGTTTTTTTGAGTGGGTCAAGTCTTTCCTTTTTTTTTTTTATTTTCAGAAATAAAATACACTACCGAGCCGAACTTCCGCGGGCAATTACACTGTCGTAGCTTGCAAATCCGATTTTTTAAAGATTTATCTAGGTCTCGTCTGACATCTGGACCACGTACGCTGTATAAATTTCGGTAATGTACGAAGCGCAAGAAAATGATTTCTTTTTTTATGTGCTACTGGCAACTGATGAAAGCAGGCGAGACATAGACATGAAACCGATATAAGACATGAGATGTTTTGACGAGGGGAGAGTATGGCAGATTTTATATTTTCTCAAGAGCCGAGCTGGTATATGTGCAATCTTAAAATGACAGTTGAACCACCAAAATATAGCATTCCGTAGTTTTCTTATACAGGCGTGCTATAAAATTATTTGAGACATACGCTACTTCTCTGGAAAATTGTTTGACGGAACATTAGGACGTTTTCGCGTCTAGAATGCTCTGTTTTGGGGTCGCGCATGCAGTTGCGCCGCTATTTACCGGGCTTGTGAGAGCACTAAATGGTAGCTTCGCGGTGATTATTTGCGTTAATGTTCATTATATTATTTAGAGTTATTCTGTCACTCACCTGCATACAGTCGTTGCACGCCGTTTCCGTCCCCGCCCGAGAAAGCGCCGAAATTCCGTTTTAGCAGACGAAGCGTTCGGCGGTCGCGCCGCACCAGCGCCTCCTGGCTACACTTACCTTGGTTTAGCACAGAAGTCGTTTGATGGCGCCACTTACCCGTACACGGCACGCGTACCGCCCTGAAGGCGGAGCTGACAGGCATAGTACACTTATCTAGGAGGCTCTGGCCCAGCCCGCTTTCGGCCAATGGCGCCGCTTTATTTGTCTCCTATACTTCCCAACGAATGGCCAAACTCTCTACATATACGGCTCTGGTCTCGAGTCTCTCGACCACTGATCTGGATCGCGCTTGCCGCTCCCGCAAGTGAAGCCACCGGACTTCACTCGCTTGGGATACGATTTGCCGTTTTTGCTAGCCTTTGCTGCGGTTTTCCAGCGTGCTGTGGACACGTTTTCTACTCGTTCGTCGTCATTCGCCGAAGAAGTTTGTTGAAGACTCTGTGTATTGTTGAGACTTGCCGTCGTGAACACGTGGAAAATTTTACGAAAGTGCAGTGTCGCAGGAAAAAGGCACAACGCGTCGAAAGGAAGGGCTGGCGGCGTGTTCAAAGCTTCCTTGGCACGCCGAAGTGCCGTGTCTCTGTGCCTTCGCACGCTTGGATACCGACCAAGAATCGACGCCGTGTGGATGTGTTTTGCGAGTGCAATGAGCGTGAAGCCGTATCAAAAGGTACGACTCGTCGAAAACAAGTGTCGCCGGTGTCGCGGCGTGATCAAAGCTTCCTTGGCACGCCGAGTGATGCATCTTTGTGCCTTCGCACGCTTGGATACCGGTCAAGAATTGACGCCGCGCCAAAATTCTGAACGTGTGTCGCGCGTAGAAGCCTTTAGATCATTTATATATATCGGGCACGGAGTTCTGGATCGTCCAGCTGTTCCGGTGAGTTGCTATCAATAAAAGGGAGAGATCTGTACGTGTTCTTATGTACTATATTAACCATGGCTATGTCCCAAATCTACTCTAATAGATTCCGTGGGAGCACGAATAGGGCAACGTTGTGGAGCCAGGGGGTTTTCGAAAGCAAAAGTACAAGACGGCGAGAATGAAAATCTTTGAAGCGCGGCCGATATGGTCGTGTGCAATCTGCTGACCAATTACAATTAGGCGAGCCGCGCTCAAACGTCAAGTGCAATTAAGTAGGTTGATAATAAGCCAGCACTGATCAGTGATGAGGAGCTGTTGTGCACGGTATTGTGTAAATCGTCTAAGGACGAAAAAAAGACGTACCTTCCCCCCATCTTCCGTCGCTAGTGGACGCTGGATTAAGCTCGTTCCTAAACCGCGAGGGGAAAAGACGCTGATCCAGAGGCACGAACAGCTTCACGCACATTGCACTCGCTAGACACATACACACGGCGTCGGTTCTTGGTCGGTATCCAAGCGTGCGAAGGCACAGAGACACGGCACTTCGGCGTGCCATGGAAGCTTTGAACACGCCGCCAGCCCTTCCTTTCGACGCGTTGTGCCTTTTTCCTGCGACACTGCACTTTCGTAAAATTTTCCACGTGTTCACAACGGCAAGTCTCAACAATACACAGAGTCTTCAAAAAACTTCTTCGGCGAATGACGACGAACGAGTAGAAAACGTGTCCACAGCACGCTGGAAAACCGCAGCAAAGGCTAGCAAAAACGGCAAATCGTATCCCAAGCGAGTGAAGTCCGGTGGCTTCACTTGCGCTGCAGCGAACAAGCGGGGAAGCGCGATCCAGCAATTGTCATAGAGATCAGTGCTCTCGACTCTGCAACGTGCTTCGGGCGGTTAGACTTCCCGCGAACGTTGCTTCGGCCGCTTCGGTTCATCCACGTGCTTCCACGCTTCCTTATCCTCCGGCTGGAACGTTCGGTTTATCACGTCGGACTTCCTGACGCAGGGGATGTATCACGTGACTATATTACTTCGTATTTTAACCCTTGTTTTTGTTTGCTGAAGTAAAAAAATAGTTAAAAGATTTATTTATTTATTTTAATATAGCAAAATATTTGCATAAATTGCGCTTTGAAAACTTATTTTGACCCCACCTGCTCACTCCACAGACTCCAGCTCACACTATATTGTCACGTGGTGTAACCCGCAAGCCCGCAAGTCCCGCAAGGGTGACTCGGACCGATGCACTTAAGAAAATAATAAACGTTTCTAAACATTATAGTATTAATTAATTGTCAAATTTAAATACTAAATATACATTAAACTTATAACGAAGTAATTTTTTGTTTGTCATTTTAAGTAGAAACTTGCATTTGCTGCGGGATGACGTCGGCGCGAATTCTAAAATTTCAATTTGAGACATGTAGGGTGTCGCGCTGTGCGATCATGAACCCAAACAAAATAAACATTTGGAGCCAAGAAGTATACCCAGCTTGCCAAGGACAACAGTCCTGAGACGAAGTTGTGTCCTGAAAAATGCTACAACAGGTCTGTAGCAGCGTGGCGCTGCAAGTCACGGCGCACCACGGCGCATCGGCTGTGCGCACCCCGGTCACGAATGTCACGTGACAAGCGCCTATAAGTATAGCACGGTCAATAAAGAAGCCCTCTTTGCCCGTTGGAATGTCGTCTGCTCAAGTTATCACATTGGCGACGAGAATGACAACGCACCCGCGCTGCCCAGCGGAAGCGTCGCAGACGGCAGCAGACGAGCACCATACGAGCGGGGCCAACTGAACGGACAGCGACAGCCAAAGCAGCGCAGTCATCGCATCTCAAGCGGGCGACGGACGGAGCGGACACGACGGACGGAAGCCAGCAACCGATAAGTACGCCGTCGGTTTGCCGAAATATGGCACCTCTTGGAAAGCTTGACGAATACGACGAAAAACAACAGAATTTTGACTCGTATTTAGAGCGTTTCGAGCACTTCGTTAGCGCAAACGACATCAAACCAGAAAAGAAGCTAGCGGTGTTCTTGACCGTTATAGGACCTCGAGCTTACGAAGTTCTGAAAAGCTTGGTCGTACCGGCAGTACCGGGAGATAAGTCGTTCGAAGAAGTGAAAGTTTTGCTGAAAAACCACTATAGCCCGAAGAGCTCGGTCATAGCGGAAAGGTGCAAATTCAACAGACGTGTACAAGAGGAACAGGAGAGCGTTGAAGATTTCATTGTAGCGCTAAAGCATTTGGCAAGGAAGTGTGACTTTGGCCAGTTTCTGCAAGATGCTCTGAGGGACAGGCTTGTGGCGGGAATACGGCGCGAAGAAACGCAACGTGCGCTATTCGCCGAAGAAAGCTTAACCTTCGAAAGGGCATGCAAGATCGCATTGGATCAAGAGCAGGCGGCACGACAGACAGCGTTACTACACGCCGGAAGCAAAGACGCGTCGTTGAACGAGATAAGAGCGAACCAGAAAGATAACGTCAATAAGCGTGACGTTCGAAAACACAAGCAAAGCAAGAAGTCTTGCGAAAGATGTGGAAGGGCGCATGCGGCAAGCAAATGTTGGTACAAGAATGCTACGTGTCACAAGTGTGGCAAGTTAGGCCATTTGCAAAAAGTGTGCTCGAACGAGAAAAAGGGACTCAAGAACGCGAATGCAGTGGACTGCTCGGAGGACGATTCAGAACTGGACGTCTATCACTGCCTTAACACGGTGCGTTCGGGTTATGAAGTGAAAGTCAATGTTGAAGGGGCGGACGTTTTCATGCAAATTGATACAGGAGCGGCTGTAACAATTGTTCCTGAAAGTGTTGCGAAAACCGTGTTCCCTCATGTCAAGTGTGAGCCATCTCGGGTAAACCTAAAAACGTACACGGGTGAACGAATCCCGGTAAAAGGGCAATGTGACGTTTCCGTCACATACGAAAACCAGACTTTGAAACTGCCCGTTATCGTCGTCGATAACCAAGGCAAGAAATTGCCGTTGCTCATGGGGCGGAACTGGCTTGAGAGGCTCAGACTTGATTGGAAAAGCGTCATGTCACTGGAGCATGTAACTGATTCACACCGAATAGAAGCGCTGCGTAACAAGTTCCCGACAGTATTTTCTAATCAGTCTAGTGTCACGAACAACTATCAAGCGAAGATAGTTCTAAAACAAGATTGTACGCCGGTTTTTTGCAAGGCGAGACCGGTGCCTTACGCGTTACGCGATAAGGTTGGAGAAGAGCTGGACAGGCTAGAGAAGAGCGGGGTTTTACGCCGCGTAAGTCACAGTGAGTGGGCGACTCCGGTAGTTGTAATTCACAAGAAAGATGGATCACTCAGGTTGTGCGGGGATTACAAAGTAACGATCAACCCTGTACTAAAAACCGACCATTACCCACTGCCGCGACCTGAAGATCTGTACACTGCCATCGCAGGTGGCAAAGTGTTTTGCGTGCTGGATCTTTCTGCTGCGTATCAGCAGGTACCGCTGGCTGCCGAGTCCAAACCACTTTTGACTATAAACACGCACATGGGGTTGTTTCAGTTCCAACGCCTACCGTTTGGTGTGGCCAGTGCGCCAGCCATTTTTCAGTCCTTCATGGACGAGGTGCTTAAAGGCATACCTCATGTGGGATGCTACATTGATGACGTCATCGTGTCTGGAAAGGACACCCAGGACTGTCAAAAGACGCTGGAATGCGTCTTGCGTCGACTTCGTGACTACAATGTCACTTTGAAAACGGACAAGTGCCGTTTTTTCCAAAGCTCGGTGACCTACCTGGGTCACACGGTGAGTGCCGATGACATTTACCCGACAGAAGCAATGACAAAGGCTATCACAGAAGCGCCCGAGCCCACCTGCGTAACGGAACTGAAGGCGTATTTGGGGATGCTAAACTTTTACGCTAAGTTTCTCAAGAATGTTTCGTGCGTAGCTGAACCGCTTTATCGGTTGTTGAAAAAGGTGAAAAGTGGTCGTGGACTCGGAAGTGCAGCGAGGCCTTTGCTGCTACGAAGCAGTTGCTCGTAAACAGCCAGGTTCTTACGTTCTACGACGTAGACAAGCCAATTGCATTGCTGTGTGATGCTTCATCGTACGGGATTGGTGCTGTCATTTTTCATGTAACACCAGAAGGGGAAGAGCGCCCAGTGGCGTTCGCGTCGCGAACGCTCACGTCAGCGGAAAAGAACTATGCGCAGTGCGAGCGAGAAGCGCTAGCTCTGATGTTTGGTCTGAAAAAGTTCCATCGCTACCTGTATGGTAGGGAGTTCACTCTCTATACAGACCATCAGCCACTGCTTGGGATACTGGGGCACGATAAGCCTGTACCTACGCTAGCGGCAGCTCGAATGCAAAGATGGGCAATGATTCTTGCAGCCTATAGGTACAAACTCAAGTACCGTAAAGGAAAAGATGTCGAGGTGGCTGATGCTCTGTCTAGACTCCCACGACCGATGACAACAGCTGACGACCCTGCTGAGTGTCTTTTGTTGTTTGACAGTACTCCCTTGACCGCGGAAGATGTAGCTAGAGCTACAAAACGTGACTTGACCTTGTCTCGCGTAGCTAACTACGTTCTGAATGGATGGCCTGCCCAAAGTAGCGAAGAGCTAAAACCGTACCATGTACGACGTGACGAGTTGTCATTTGAGCAAGGCTGCGTCACCTGGGGCTCAAGGGTGATTGTACCTGAAAAGCTGCAGTCACAGGTTTTGGCACTGTTGCATGAGGACCATCCAGGTGCTAGCCGCATGAAAATGCTTGCCAGAAGTTTTGTATGGTGGCCAGGGCTAGACCTAGAAATCGAGAGCTACGTACGACAGTGTCGCGTATGTCAGTCTGTTCAGAACGCTGCTCCACCTGTACCGTTACAGCCATGGAGCTATCCAACTAAGCCGTGGCAACGAGTACACGTGGATTTTGCTGCTAAAGAAGGCCATGTCTTCCTAGTACTGGTGGATGCTTTCTCGAAATGGATCGAAGTGTGGTCCATGTCTTCCACCACTACTGGTAAAACACTCGACAAATTGCGAAGTGTATTTGCGGCTTATGGGCTACCAGAGGTACTGGTGAGTGATAACGGACCTCAGTTTGTTTCAGATGAGTTCTCTGAGTTTATGAGGGTGAATGGCATCAAGCACGTTAAGACGCCACCCTATCATGCTGCCTCCAACGGCGCAGCAGAGCGTCTCGTGCAGACCACAAAAAAAACTCTGCTGAAGCAATTGTTAGACGAGAAACAGAGTGGCAAGAAACACTCTTTGCTCGAACGTTTGGATAGCTTTTTACTGAGCTATCGAAACACCCCAAACAGTACCACTGGTCGCACTCCAGCCGAGCTGTTTTTGAAGCGACAGCCACGAGTGAAACTTTCTTTGCTTAAACCCGATTTTGTAAAAGCCATGCAAAACAAACAGCAGCACCTGAAGGAACAGAGTGATGCGTCGCGAGGTGCTAACCGGTCTTTTGTTGTGGGTGATACTGTGTTGGTCAAAACGGTGCGAGGCGAGCTAGTGTCATGGGAAGAAGGTGTGGTGACTCAAGTCGTCAGTCCTGTGACATATTTAGTGAAAGTGGCGCAGGTTGTGCGGTTCACACACGCCGACCACATCCGAGACCGCCTTGCAAGCCCGACGTCCCTTGCTGCACCGCCTACGCCGGAGGAGCCTACGCTCCCAGATGTTCCGGTGCCTCGAGAAACTCAGCCGATGGTGCCACAAGTTGCTTCTGCTGCTATGCCAGCGGACTCTCAAGCCGGCAGTCAACAAGCTACACGGACGCGTCAGCAGCCGCTTCCACCACCGAGTTCCACAAGTGCGCCAGTGACGACACCGGAGCCTTGTACTGAGGCACCGACTTCCAGAAGAAGTACGCGAGTGCGGCGTCCACCGGACAGGTACAAACCGGAGGACTTCCGAAGCTGATGTGAGGGGGAAGGAATGTAGCAGCGTGGCGCTGCAAGTCACGGCGCACCACGGCGCATCGGCTGTGCGCACCCCGGTCACGGATGTCACGTGACAAGCGCCTATAAGTATAGCACGGTCAATAAAGAAGCCCTCTTTGCCCGTTGGAATGTCGTCTGCTCAAGTTATCACAAGGTCAGGGACCCGAACCGACGACGCCGACAGCAGTTTCTGTAAGCTCGGTTGTCTCGGAGCACGGTGAGACAAAAAGTCCCCGTGAACTAAGTAGAACCAATGAAATCGGAAGCGGTCACAGTGCTGGGCCAGTTAGTGGAGACACAAGTGATAAAATTGTGAAAGGCGACGGGAGATTTGAAGACAATTTCCTGTCCAAGTTTCCTGAAACGGCTACTGCCAAAGACGAATGTAACGAGTCAGACGTACCCTGTTTCGGCTGACCTTAATTTTAATTGGACGCAGGTTGAAGGGCTTTTGAATCTTCATTGCTGGAGTGTACACTTTTCCCGGCACCAAGGAAAAGTACAGCATTGGGAAGCCAGAAGCCAAACTAAAGGCCCAAACGGCCAACAAGCGCGTAAATTGCCTTTCAAAAAGGAACTTCCTTGCTCGACTACGAAGTGGAAAGCGCTGCCTGACACTTACTCTGCGTGAAACAAGGTGCAATCATAATTTCGGGAAAGTCATCCTCATTTCGTGTGTGTGTGTGCATTTTATGTGCTTTTTTTATGACGTCCATGGTGTTAATAGTTATTCGATGTTATTCGGCACTAGCGGCTTTTCTTTTCTGTTAATAAAAAGCATGTCCGTGATAGAATGTGCACGTGATCTGCCGCCCCCGAACGGGCGCGTAGCCTTTGCTGGGGCTCAAACAGGATACGTTCACATGGAAGCCTGAAGTATCGCATTTTTTCGCCAACTCCGCCAAAGTTATAAAGTTCTGACGTCGGAAGTCGGAGAGCTTTGGACCAATCGTGGAAGATGCTAATAGGATTTTTGAGTCAGTGTTATTCTGTTTTTGACCCTGTTTTATTCTGACTTACTCGGTTCTGGAGCGAAATTTATACAAAAACGAGAAGGTTCCATTCCTGAACCAGGTGGAACTGAATAAAACGGAGCAAAGTCGAATGTGAATACATAATCCAGTTGGTGCAATCGTTTACGCTATTACTGTTACTGAGACATCCTGGAAAACAAGAGAACAGAATACACCGCTAAAACTGCAGAGATGATACCTGAATTTCGTGGTTTGCCTATATATAATTATTCATGAATCTTGTGCATACTATGTGCACACACAATGTTCCCGTTCCCCATAGTCTTTTTTTTTTAATGTTCTACTGGCAGCCGCATGTTTTATAATACGAAAGAGGACAATACATAAGTAATCAGGAAATTCTAAAACACGTGCCAAAAAGAGTTCATCTTCACTTTATTTACTGAAAGTTTGATTTAATTAGTGTCTATATGGCCCAACTCAAGTTATATAGCTAAAAAGAAAATGTTCATTTGGCAGAGAGGAACCCATCGGGCCGGCACGGCACGTATCTACAGGGGGGGGGGGGAGGACCCATGGGGCCTGCCCTCCTCCTCCCAAACCTTCCATTTGGTGGGGCCTCCTCTCCCCCCTCCCCCTCATAAAGCATTTTGTCATGGGCTAATCAAAATCCTGGCTGTGTGCCTGCCATCGGCTATGTTTGCGGAAAAAAAGTATTTTCCTGTGCTCGAAACATAAAACTTTAGTATATAACACCTTTAATTTCTCCACTAAGCATACTATTTAACCTGATAGATGTTCACTTCATAGATTTCATGTTCTCTATGATCCTCATCTCAAATGGTCCAATAGAAATTCCCAGTCGACCATTAAAAGTTCTCGATCTGAAATGCATTTCATTTGACCGTTGAAGGTTTCAGTTTAACCAGTACAACTTCTTATTGATCCTATTGAAGGACCAATAGGCACTTGTATTGGACCGGAAGATATTCGTGTTGTTCCCATAAAAGTTCCTAATGGTACAAGAGAACTTTGTATTGGTACGATATAACTTTTTACCGGCCCAGTAGAAATGCCATTGGTACGATGAAATCCTATTGATCCCACAAAAATCTCTATCGATCCCATAGAAACTTTTTGCTAGTGTGTGCTAATTTGGCAATTGAGCATTGTCACTGCCATACTGCACCGAGTTCGCTTCTCTGCAGTGCAAGGCTCATTGCTATCTCCCGCACAGTGGCTCTGCCACATAGCGCCACTGGCTGCAATGAGCGGCAATGAGCAAACTGATTGTCGTGCACATTGACACAATTGGCATCGTGGCGCTTGCCCCTTAAAGTTGACTTTCCCTCGACCTATTCTTTTAGCCTTCCCCCGTGCTGCGGCTTCTCTGCAGCATTTCCAGTTGCACCAATGTGCAAAACATCGGATATTCTCATCGGCGCCAATTGCACATTCATGCTCATAGGTTTTGGGTGTGCATTTCAATTGGAAAAGGCCTGCCATTTCCAGCAGGGACGCCATGAGATATGAACTACACGCGGTACTATCAAACCAAACGCACTATTGTCGTCAGAATCGTCATAGCAACATACCCCTGTCGCTTGTTCTCGTCGGTTACGAGACACCGGAAGCTTCCCTTTCTCTCGCTCCCTGTCGTTCCCTGGTCGTTCTCTAGTTCGCAGCTAAGAAGCCTTTCGAGCATACCGATTCCGGCTGATCTTACGAACTTCTTAAGTTACGAACTTCTTGGCTAAGATTTCGTAAGATAATATGTTTTTTGAGCATCCGGCCTCAGAACTTTTCGCAGCCTAAGAAAACGTCGAAGTTCGTTGTCCAACCCAAGCGACGGCTTATTAACTGTGTTCCCGTGACCTAATGTTGTTAATGACTCTTGTATCAACCGCTTATGGTCATTTTTTTCACGCAACTCTACTGAAGTTAAAAGTCACAACGGTACACATTTCCTACATTCGATCAGATATTTTGACACTTCGGAGTACGGGTCTTTTTTCTTTATACAACGTTTGTGTTCCGTCAACCGCTCATTTATACACCGTTCAGTTTGTCCAATATAACAAAGATTACAATCAAAGGGTATCTTGTAAATGACACCCGA